CTGAATTTCCTGAAGAGGATGAATCGGTTGGCGAGATTCTCGTTGGGTTCTTCGGGCCCAACTGTGTCGATCTGATTGAAACTTCTGCTCTCAACATTCTGCTCACATATTTGTGCGGCTCGTCGGTTTCCGTCCTGGAGAACGTGTTAGTCGAGAAAGAAGAGCTTGCCAGCTCTGTAACACAATGGTGGGAAGCCCGACCAAACTCCGTAATATGGCTTCAGCCGACGGGTGTCGCAACGGAAAAGCTCGAGTTTGTGGAAAAGCGGCTCATGGAGCTTCTGAAGGAGGTTGCCAGTAAGCCGCTTGACATGGAATACATGCTCGAATGCATCAAGCGAGAGAAGCGTCAAGTCAAATTCCACGCAGAGACCTCAGAGTCGTTCTATGCGACCAACATCATTACTGATTACCTTTTTGGTAAGCGAGACGGCTCGACACTTCAAGAGCTTGGGACTCTTAGTGAGTACGATGTTCTGGAGAAGTGGACAGACGAGCAATGGCGAGCTTTTTTGAGCAAGTGGATGGCTCACGCCCACCATATTTCTATCCTCGGCAAACCGTCACATGAACTAGCCAAGAAAATGAAGGCTGATGAGGAGACCAGAATCGCCAAGAGGAAAGAAGAGCTCGGGGCAGAGGGACTAGAAAAGTTAGCTAAGCGCCTTGAGAATGCTAAGAAGAAGAATGACGAGCCCATCCCGGCCGAGGTCATTGATCGGTGGAGTGTCCCTGGCACAGAATCGATCCATTTTATTGAGTCTGATACTGCACGATCAGGACGGGCCAAATCAATTGGTTTGGGGATCGGTCAGGCACAGAAGGTCATTGACTCTGCCACAGATGGTAAACTACCACTCTTCATCCAGTTCGAGGATGTGCCCACCAACTTTGTTCACATCACCATTCACCTGGGCACTTCGCAAGTACCATTTGAGTTGAAACCACTTTTGTCCATATTTAGCGACAACTTCTTCAACACTCACATCTTGCGAGATGGCAAGCAAGTTGACTTTGAGCAAGTCGTTATGGAACTTGAGCGGGACAGCATCGGCTATAACATTGGATCTGCTCGCTCGCTTGGTGATGCAGACGGTTTCATGATTGGTTTCCAGGTCGAGCCTGATAAGTATTCTGCCGCAGTCCATTGGTTGCGAACTATGATGTTTGACTCCGTTTTTGATCCCCAGCGTCTTGGGGCTGCCATCACCAAGGCCCTCGCCGATATTCCTGAAGCTAAGCGTGACGGCCGTGGAATGGCTGCAGAGATCGATACCGCCATCCACATGGATAAGACATCCTTGGCCGTAGCCAGGCGCACCCTGGTCAAGGCCGTCTATCTGAAGCGCCTCAAGAAGCTCCTCAAGAGTGAGCCAGAGAAGGTCATCCAGTGGTTCAACACCATTCGCAAGTCGCTTTTTACCTTTCAAAACATGCGCTTCCTCGTCACCGCAAATGTGTCCAAGCTTCAAAATCCCATCACCACCTGGAACGCCCTCGCAGAAACTTTAACGACCCAAGAAGCCATGGTTCCCATTCCCAAGTTGGTAAACCTCCTCAATGATGAAGGCCGCAAACCAGGCTCCGTCGGCGCCATCATTGTGCCCATGACTACACTCGATAGCTCGTACTCGGTTAGCACCGCACCAAGCATCACATCCCTCTCGGATCCCAAGTTCCCCGCCATCATGGTAGCAATCGGCTACCTGGAGACTGTAGAAGGACCTCTCTGGAACGCTGTCCGGGGCGCCGGGTACGCCTACGGCTCTTACTTCTCACGGAACGTCGAATCGGGCCTTCTGTCCTATCGCGTGTATCGCTCCCCAGACGCCTACAAAGCCATTTCTGCATCCCGAGACGCCATCCGCAAGATTGCCGTCGGCGAAGTGCCCATCGATAAGCATCTTCTCGAAGGGACCATTAGCCAAATCGTCGTTATGTTTGCCGACGAGCAAGCGACCATGCCGAGTGCCGCTCAACAAAATTTCGTACGTAGCGTCGTACGTGGCCTTCCCAAGGATTGGAGCAAAGACGTGCTCCGGCAGGTGCGGGATGTCACCGTTGACGAGATGAAGAGTGTTATGCAAGAGTTTATTTTGCCTTGTTTTGAACCGGGGAAGAGCAATGTAGTGGTTACTTGCGCCAAGTTAATGTCTGAGGTATGTGCATGCGACGTAATAGAACACAAGGCTATAGTTTCTGGGCTAACGAGGTTGTAGAATATGGAAACCGCCTTTAAAGATATGGGATACAAGGTGCAGACCCATGAATTGAGCTATTTTCATGACGATTATGGCCTAAAAGCTGGCGAAGAAGAAGAGGAAGAAGAGGAAGACGAAGAAGACGAAGAAGATGAAGGCTCGGAAGGTTCATATGACGACGATGACGAATCGGATGAAGATTAGAGTAGCACGGTTCTCACGAATTGGGCATAGACATTGTACTTAGGCTAGACTTACAATATGCGGCAATAGAGCCCTTGGGACGACATGCCAAGTCTTCGCAAGATACCTAGGTAGCAAACAGACTAGATGTATTTTCTTCCGACCAACTCTTCTACTGTACACCAGCATTTAATTCTACCTCTAGGCCACAGACTTCAGCAATTATAGATGCCCCATCTATTTAGAATTCAGCCTCATAAGATATCCTCTATTCATTCTCATTCAAGACCTTTGGCCTCACAACTCATCACGTCCAGTAGCCGTCGCAACACCCTCCTTGTCCTTTTCACTTGTGAGCGAGTCCTTTGGCTTCCAATCAAGGGCCTTGAGACGCTCAGACAGATGGGGATGCGAGAAGTGATAGCTGGCATACATCCAGTCGGCGTCCATGGTGCTCAGGTTCTGAGCGTGCAGCTTGATTAGAGAAGAGGCCAGCTGCGAGCGGAAGCCCAGACCCTTTGCGAAGTCGTCTGCCTCGAATTCAAATTTGCGAGAGAGGATGTTGAGAAGCAGCTTGATGACGGTGTCCATTGGGGAGAGGGCGTCGCTGAAGAGAATGAACCCGATAATGATGGGGTGGGTGGTGTGGAAGCCAAACGCATTGTAGAGGGACACGTTGTTGATGAAAACAGAGAAGAGAGAGAAGACATAGAGGAGATGGGCCTGGAATTACGATCAGTGGATTGAATTTTGAGCGATGATGACGAAGGATGGGTACTTACCTGAGCGATGCCAAAGAGACGCGTTGTGTGGCCGAGCTTCCAGTGACCGAGTTCGTGGGCAAGAATGGCAATGATTTCATCGGTCTTCGTCTTTTCAATCAAGGTGTCGTAAATGACAATGTGCTTCTTCCAAGGCAAACCGTAGAAATAGGCATTCGAGTGCGCGCTTCGTTTGCTTCCATCAATGACAAAGAGCTCTTGTAGGGGAAACTTGTGAGAAAGAGCCAGCCCCTCGACCTTGGTCTTGAGTTCGCCTTCCTCGAGAGGAGACAATTTGTTAAATAGGGGCTGGATAAAGATCGGGTACGCAGTCGTAGTAAATAGCTGCAAGCCAGCAGAAAAGACCCAAAGATAAAACACAAACTGGTTACCGGTCTTCTGGATAATCTTTAAAAAGGCGGCCAGAATAGGAGGCACGAGGGCAACCGTCAACAGATTCGTCTTGATCATGTCGGTGATGAATAGTTTTGGCGTCTGCTTGTTGAAACCAAACTTCTCCTCCAGCACAAAAGTGCTGTACACGCGCGTGGGGAGTGAAAGGAACTGTTGGATGACGATGAAGGTGAGAACAAAGAGGATGGAGTGGCTAATTTCGCCGGTGAATCTGGAGGGAGCCCATTTGAGGAGTAAATCGCCCGTCCAGGACCACAACTTTGGGAGAACATCGAGTTGAATAAATGCAACGTTTTGGATCTGCGCCCAGAGGCCGGAGATGATTTCGAACTGAGCTTTGGCGCGACCGTAGGCTTGAGACTTGTCAAAAGTTTCTTGCGAGATTTCCTTGGAGAGCACGGCGGGGGGTTTGGTCTGTTGGAGAATGCGATATTGGCGAAGGGTGAGGAAGGATTCAAAGAGGTATTGACCGACGGAAAAGCCGAGGATGAGCTTCTTCCAAGGGAAGAGAGGGCGATCGAGGTACCGCGCGAGGCGCTGTGTTGGATTGTGATGTTAGCGAGTCGTGTTCACGATGACGTGATGTGGGCGGAAGATGGGCAGTGAGATGCGATGCGGATTGATCGAGTCTGTTACATTTAGTGATAGCATCAATTGGTGAACCTACCTGGAGAAAATCCATTTTGGCGACGACAGCTACAATCCAGATTGGATTGATGGTATGATGGAAGGGGAGCGAGGGCGGAAGAGAGAGCAAGCGCGCGATGTGCGGAGCGCTGGATCTGACAACTGTGTCCTGTCTTATCGATTTGGTCCATTCAGTTTTAGGCTACGCTGCGTTTGGGTGGGCATGCACGGAGGAGCCAGGACGGTGTTACATTTGCCCGGCAAGTAATGTGAGACCACTGTTACTGAGCAAATTATGCAAGACAGTTTACTCGTGCACTTCAGCGTTGGATAGATGAAATGGGCTAATTTGTCCCATTAATACGCTGAGAAGGTCTGATACGCTAGGGACGCCTTCAATGTTGGCGAACGAGGCAGCAAGCTGACTACACCATGGCGGGCATGAACTCGAAGTGGAATGAAGCTCATCTACCGCCGCCTTCTTTACGTAAACATACAATGATACGATACTCCGTAATACTGTCAAACCAAGATCCAAGCACGGCATAATAATAGCCTACAACGTCCCCTTGTGCCTTTTCTAAGCCGCACGGAAGATGGCCTTATACCCTTGCAGCGGCATCAGTGTGACGTCCACTTTCGGTGCCTCTGACGACAGCTTGACTGGCAACGCTAATTCAACTCTGAGAGTTTCCGGGCTGTCCTGGGCGCGGTTTGATTGCATAAGGACACAGCGTAGAGGCTCAGTCGTCGGCATGGCGGCAAATTGTGGATTGTCGGTCAATGGCGCTCGCAGCATTTCCAACAAGCCATCCTAATGTCCGTTGGTAGCTGCAGTTGCTTGCTGCTGAGTTGGTGCTGGTGGCCGTTCTGGTCCGTACGGCACTGGCGCGGGCTGTTTCTGCACAGGTTGAGGCTCTTCCTCAGTATCGTCATCGAACTCGCTCAGTTCTTCATCTTCGCCTTCGTTTGAATAGTCGCTCTCGTCGTCGCCCTCAGCCCCTCCTTGGTTGTCTGAATACGCGTTTTCCATGACGCTGGCTAGTCCTGGAGGACCCTTTCGTCCCTGGTGCTGCATCTGCTGTATGATACTCATGAGTTTGTTCACTTTTTTCTCGGCAGAGTCCACTTGCTTCTTCCACCCTTGACGTTCTTCAGCCATGCGGATGATATTAGCGGCCGTTGCATCTTTCTGTCTCTTGAGCGCTTCGTTCTCCTTTTCCAGTCGCTTGCCCTTCTTGGACATATCTTCCATTTCCTTTCGAAATGACAAGAACAAATCGTTACTATTGTTCAGAGTATCCTCAACCTTGAGCCCCTGTTGTTAGCCGATTCAAAGGACAGAGGCACGTGCGAATCTCCCACCTGTTTGAACTTCTCAACATAGGTATTCAACTGATTTCGAAGCTCAGTTTCCGTCTTGGTAAAAGCTTGTACTTGGGCTTGAAGGTGGCGCGCTTTGCTCGCCTCGGCCTCGGCGGTTTTCTTCTCTCGTTCATATCGTGATTGATGATACTGAACTTCCAGTTCCTTCGTTCGCATAAGGGAGTGGAAATGTAGCTCACGCAGTTCGTATTGTTCGATGAAAGACTTGAACCTGACACGGAATCTGCAACAACACGCAATTAATGCCAAGATTACAAAGATTCAGGAAGCTCACCCCTGTTGTATACTCACAGTTCATCAACTTCCATGTCCACCACCTGTTTTCGCGGGGTGTCTTTCTCTTCCTGGTAGCCTTCCAATTTAGATAAAACGGTGGAGAATTTCTCATCCCAGGAAACATTATTCCGCTTCTGTGTAGTCTGGAGTTCTTTGTTCTCATTCTTTCCACGCCACACGTTAGCACATTGTCTCCAGTTGGTCCCTGTCCGAAATGGCTCGCCGTGTGTTCTGACCTTCATCTTATTGTTGTCCCGCTGTAACTCACGACACAGTTTTTCAAGCTTCTCCTTCAATCCGACTGTCTTGCCAAGTTCGGTTCGACCGCTATCTCGCTCCTTTTGCAGAGTATCGCCTCGCTTCTTGTTCCTTTGGTTCTCCTTCTCAAGGCGTCGCATATCAGCCAGGAGTTCACTGGAGCGTTTCGTCAGGTGTTCAATTTTCTGCATATCGTCCATTTTGGCGACCTGTTGCATCAAATCTCGGTTGGCTCTTTTGACTTCCCGTTCTGTATGGGCGGATGGGACTGATTAGCAATGAGAGACATGGTAAGGCCTTGATGTGGAGGCCCATGAGACCTGAAGCGCAAGTATTCGCTCAAACCTACCGATCTCAAGTTCTTGGTCTTTTTCTCCAGCGGCATCCTGCTCCAGCTGAGAGATACGGGCCTGGAGCAGCCGTGATGCTTCCGACGAGTCGATGGCTTTCTTCCCCTTCCCCTTCTTACCCGGCACAGGCGCGGAATGAACATGGCCATCGTGACCGTTAGTCAATGCTGGTTCTACTTGACCCGAAGGCATGACGTGCGAGGTGTGCTGACGCCTCTAAGATGGTCAAGGGGGCGAAAAGATTTCACGATTGTCGCAACATGGGGGACAGAGACCGTTTTTGAGAAAGAATGGTGCGGCTTAGAGTTGACGTCGAGATTTCGCCGGGTGGGACAAGCCGGTAAGCGAGGATGTGTTGGGGCGAAAGGATCGGTGCGTTCTGGTTCGGAGACGACCGTGACGATGGTCAGAACTGGAGGCCGGTAACCTGAATGGCCAGGTTAGCAACTTCTGCGGCGATGTGATGTGAGGGTGCTCTGCCTCCTGCATGCAGCCCAATCAAGCCGTGCAAACACGCGGGCTTTGAGTAGAATGATCACTTACAGATGCGGATACTTGCGCTGCAGAGAGAGATCAGATTATGAGAAGTTGAGCGAGCAGACAGACTGCGGGCGAGTGAGCAGTCTTCGCACGGATGTCGAAGTCGATTGCGTGGGCGTATTCAAATCCGTTTTTACTGAGGCCGAGAAGGGCATCGAGGAATGGCATTAGTGCATTAGGGGCAAGACACGTGTGAGCCTGTGGGACTCTGTTATGACACTATCAGGCCTTGCCTTGCTGTACTGGACTGACAGTAAATGTCTGGTCATCATTCGCTGGCAATCCGTCTTGAGCTCCACTGAAGGTTCCGCTGAAGCCGTCAATTGTCTGCAGCTGAGCGAGTACCTGGCTCTGCGCACCATGCTCTCAGTCCAATAACCGGCTTCTGCATGTGGCGTCAAGTATGACTAAGGCTCGCAATCCCTTGGAACTTTTATTATGCCCTCGGGGCTGGGGCCTCCGTCACCATCTTCGCCAACATCCGGAGTCTCTGGTCAATATTCAAGCAATTCCAGCTCCACACTTTGCTCCGGTACACCCGTGAGTGATCTGTCCTGGATGCAGCGCGTGTGTTTGAATTTCTGATCGACCTCTTTCTGTATACTATTGTATTATTAGGATCATTCGCCTCCATTCATACTTCTTGGCGACTCGGGCCATCATGCTTCGAAATGCTGCCAACGCAGCTCGCAAAGCTGTTACAGAGCTGTCGCAATATCCCAAGCCAGGCGACAAGCTTCATGGCTTCACCCTTGTGCGCTCCAAACATGTCCCTGAGTTGGAACTGACGGCATTGCATCTGCAACACGATAAGACTGGTGCTGACTACCTGCACATTGCTCGAGAAGACAGCAACAATGTTTTCTCCATCGGCTTTAAGACGAACCCTCCGGACGACACCGGTGTTCCGCATATTCTCGAGCACACGACTCTATGCGGTAGCAACAAGTATCCCATTCGCGATCCCTTTTTCAAGATGCTACCCCGGACTCTATCCAACTTCATGAACGCCTTTACAGCCTCCGACCACACTTTTTACCCGTTTGCGACCACAAATGCGCAGGACTTCAAGAATCTCATGTCTGTATATCTGGATTCTACCTTGCATCCACTGCTTAAACAGTCTGATTTCACCCAAGAGGGGTGGAGGATCGGGCCCGAGAACCCTCTTGGAGAGACTGCCGAGAGCAAGAAACTGGTGTTTAAGGGTGTGGTGTACAATGAAATGAAGGGCCAAATGTCGGATGCTGGGTATCTCTTCTATATTCGTTTCCAGGATCACATATTTCCGGCTATCAATAACTCAGGTGGCGACCCTCAAAAGATTACCGACCTGACGTACGACCAGCTCAAGAATTTCCACGCCAACCACTACCACCCTAGCAACTCCAAGCTGTTTACCTATGGTGACATGCCCTTGGTTGACCATTTGCAAGAGTTAGATGCTAGATTGCAGGCGTTTGCAAAGAAAAATATCGATGAAGAAATTCACCAACCAATAGACCTTGATGGCCCTTGCGAAGTCACACTCAAGGGCCCCATGGATCCCCTTGTCGACCCTGATCGTCAGTATAAGACTTCAGTGTCATGGATCACTGGAGATACTACTGATGTCGTCGAGTCTTTCTCCATCGCATTACTCTCTACCCTTCTGATGGATGGCTATGGCTCGCCTCTCTATCGCGGCCTAATCGAGACTGGCATGGGAGCTGACTGGAGCCCGAATGCGGGATATGATAGCTCTGCCAAGCGAGGAATTCTTTCCATTGGCCTGACTGGAGTTCAAGAATCCGATGTTCCCAAGCTGAAGGAAACAGTCCAGGGAATATTGAAGCAGGCTCGTGATAATGGCTTCGACAAAACTAAGATTGATGGGGCGTTGCACCAATTGGAACTGTCTCTGAAGCACAAGACCGCCAATTTTGGGTTCTCTATGCTCAATAGACTTAAGCCAAAGTGGTTCAATGGAACCGACCCGTTTGACTCTCTCGCCTGGAACGACACCATCTCAGCATTTCAGGCGAAGCTGGCCGAAGGCGGTTATCTCGAGGGTCTTATTGACAGGTACCTACTTAACGACAATACCATGATCTTCACAATGGCACCGTCTCTTACTTTTGGAGAGGACCTTGTAAGGGAAGAACAGCAGCGTCTTTCTTCCAGGATTGATGATGCTATTCAGAGCGCTGGGGGCGAGGAGAAGGCTCGACAGAAGTTTGAGCAGCAAGAGCAGGAGCTTCTTGTCGAGCAAAATAAGACCAATTCCGAAGATCTCAGCTGTCTGCCGACTGTCCACGTGAAAGATATTCCAAGAACGAAAGAGCCAGTAGTGGTGCGTGACGAAGTTCAAAATGGCACAGCAATTCAGTGGCATGAGGCACCCACGAATGGATTGACCTATTTCCGTGGCATCAATACCTTGGAAAATTTACCCGACGATCTTAGAGAACTTGTTCCTCTCTTCACGGATAGCATTATGCGCCTTGGAACTAAGGATATGGCCATGGAGCAGCTCGAGGACCTGATCAAGCTGACCACTGGCGGAGTCTCTGTGGGATACCATTCCACTCCATCACCCACCGACTACAGTGCATCTAGCGAAGGCATCGTTTTTACTGGCATGGCCTTGGATCGAAATGTCCCTGTCATGTTCGATATTCTCCACAAGCTAGTCCTGGAGACGAATTTTGATGCTCCAGAGACAGCCCTCCGTATTAGACAGCTGCTCCAAGCCTCCGCGGATGGCATTGTTAACGATATTGCCTCGTCGGGCCATCGCTTTGCTGTGGGCTATGCTGAATCAAGCATTACACGAAGTGCATGGCTACGCCAACAAGTTGCCGGCCTTTCCCAGGTTAAACTAGTAACTCGGCTAGCCGGGCGCCCAGAGTCTGATCAGTTTGAAGACGTCATCAGCAAATTGAAGCAAATCCAACAGTTTGCCCTGTCAAGCGACAACATGCGAACGGCAATCACCTGTGGTACCGAGAGCGTAACCCAAAACTCTAACTCCCTCCAGTCCTTTATGAAGGCTCTCCCTCAAGGTGTTTCGGATTTGAAGAACCCGGAGCCGCGGAGACTCCCCACTGACCGCAAGACTTTTTTCCCCCTACCTTATCAAGTATATTATGGAGGATTGTCTGTACCGACAGTGTCCTACACGGCGCCTGATGGCGCGCCGCTTCAAATACTCTCACAGCTCCTCACCCACAAGTACCTGCATCACGAGATTCGCGAGAAGGGCGGAGCCTACGGCGGTGGAGCCATGTACAAGCCGCTAGATGGTCTGTTTGGTTTCTACTCTTACCGTGACCCCAATCCCCAAAATACCATGAGCATTATGCGAAATGCGGGCAGGTGGGCCGTCAATAAAGAATGGTCGGATCGTGATCTAGAGGAGGCCAAGATTTCAGTCTTCCAGGCCGTCGATGCACCTAAGGCTGTCAACCAAGAGGGCATGGGCAAGTTCCTCTCCGGCATCACGGAGGACATGAGACAAAAGAAGAGGTATCAACTCCTGGATGTGTCAAAGGACCAGGTCAAGGAAGCTGCGCAGAAATATCTCGTAGACGCAATAGAAAGGGGTGAGGAGCGTACGGCTTTCCTCGGCGAGCGTCAGTCATGGGTGGATGATTCGTGGAAGACGCAGGAGATGAATGTCGCAGTTGGCGAATGATTTCGCAACACGGAAGTTCCAAGCCGAAATGAGACTGCTTTAGGGCACAAGCATGCATTGGACATCCGCATGGGTGATTATGGAAGCACTACCCGATGCTACGATCCGTGGACATTACGATACAGCGATTGGGCAAGCACGCCATCGCTATAACATACGACAAAAGTGTACGATTTTATCCCTCATATACATACACGCATATGGACAAGACGCAAGACGCAAGACGCAAGACGATATATAGACGATCTCCAAATATGTAATATACTCCAACGAAACTTTGTTTGCTCTCGCCGGCTACCTCGCCTGATATTGACTTGTTGACATTCACGCGTTCAGATACGATACATCCATCTGCCGAAAGGACAACTTTCACAGTGACAGATGGACCACAGAGCAACGCAAGAATAAAGTGACGTACTGTTTCATAATTCATACGTGCTCACGCTTGAAGGATCTGCCATTCCATTTACGCTCAGAACGAGATGACCGCGGCGCCTGCAGGCATCAGGTGTCTTGTTCGGGAAGGGATTGGTGATTTGGAGAGTGAGAGTAGACGGGAATTTGAAATGGGGCTGTCTCGTTCTATCAGAGCCGGAGCCCTTGAGCCTTGGGTTGCCGGACTAAAGAGCTGAGTACATATGGGGTGTGAATTACGCATGGTGAGACGAGGCAAGTAGACGTTCGGAATAGACTCTGGCTTGGGCAAGTACTTTGCTACGAGTTGTAGGGTTTGGTGTCGACTGGCTCCTACATGAATTCGATGTGTCACTAGATACCACCAGATGAGACTTGCTGGCTCAGCCTCTAAACGCGAGGCTGCAGGAGGTAGTTATCGGGCAACTGCCTGCAGACCTGCTTGGCACCCGGAAATAAGGGATCAAGATGAGGCTAAGGGGCCGGTCAATGAAACACTGCCGTAGCGTGAGGTGATTTGAAACTAATGACGATCATTCGGTTGAGTCCCGAGATGGTGTGA